CGGAGCTGACACCTCCACTCTGAGGACACCTCCACTCTGAGGACACCTCCACTCTGAGGACACCTCCATTCTCAGGACACCTCCGGACACCTCCACTCTCAGGACACCTCCACTCTGAGGACACCTCCACTCTCAGGACACCTCCACTCTCAGGACACCTCCACTCTGAGGAAACCTCCACTCTGAGGACACCTCCACTCTCAGGACACCTCCACTCTCAGGACACCTCCACTCTCAGGACACCTCCACTCTCAGGACACCTCCACTCTGAGGACACCTCCACTCTCAGGACACCTCCACTCTCAGTACAGGAAGTGACACTTCTGACGAACTCAAATGACACCATGTTAAACGTAAAAAATTGAGAACGTGAACAACTTCTTGGAAGTAATCTCAGGGGCTGCGTCGCAGCGTTCAGAGTAATTTGCTCACATTGGGTTCAACGCGTTATAGAGCGAGCAAGTCATTTCATTGGACGAGAGGCATACTATGAGAGCTGGTCACAGGGATGCGTTCAAATGTAGTCAGTAATTTGAGGAACTGTCGAAATGGCGAACGCCGATAAAGTTGAGCTCGAAAATCCTCCAGCATCATTGAAGTCTCCGGTTTGGGAACATTTTGGTTTCGCAGTTACGTACAAGGATGACGGACAAAGACAGGTGGACCGAACCAAAGCTGTTTGTCAGCATTGTTCAACTAAAATTGGTTACGCGGCTGGCAATAGATCAAACGTGCACACTCATTTCAAAAGGCATCACCCGAACGCGAATATCACCGCTACCAAAAGAAAAAAGACTGAAGTGCAAACCCAACTCCCACTAGCATTTAAGCCTCCACCACTCGCAAAAAGTTTAGACCGAGGCAAAGCTATTAAAAACGCCAAATATCCTTATGTTGCCATGTTAGCAAAGCGCTACATGGCTGTATCTGCTACCTCTGTCCCTAGCGGGAGGGTGTTCTCCACCCAAGGAGACATTGTAGTGCCAGCATATCTGCCCTTTCGGCAAGCAATGTGGACAAGTTAATTTTTCTTTAAAAAAACATGAAAATACAATGACAAGCAAGTCATAATGTCAAACTGTCTGCTTAGGTACTAGTACAGTAAAGTTCAAATACAGATTATTTCAGTTCATCGAAATGCTGCACCTTAATGTTTATTTTATTATATTTTGTATTTATTTGCGTGAATACATTATTCACAGTTTAATAATAATAATAATAATTAACTACCAGAAATCCTTTATCTGTCCCGCAGCGGGGAAATGTACATGATTACAACAGCAGATAAAATGAGACAAATATGCACACGTTATTAATAAGACAATAGGTCAAAAACAAACACTAAATAGCAGATATGTACACCAGGGTTGACAAACATATGGCCCGTGGGATGACAGAGAAGACATTGTGTGCTTTTGTAGATATACACCAGGGGTGTCAAACTCAATTTCATCATGGGCCACATTCGCATAAAGGTTGCACTCAAAGGGCCGGTTGTATATAAATAATACATGAATTCAGTGAGTGAGGATCTAAATAAATATATAATATATATAAAATAATGTATTATATGACATTATTGCCTCTGAATTGGATTATTATCGGATAGGATAATAACTTAGTAATTAACTCCGTCTGAAAGCAAATAATTACAAGTCTCAGTGTGCATGTCACAAAACGAGATGCATTGTGGGACATGTAGTTTATGGGCAACCTGCTTCTGTAAAGTGGCATGTAACCGTATAATAAATGTATTATATTCTTTGCAAGCTCTTGCAGGGCCACATAAAATGAAGTCACGGGCCGGATTTGGCCCCTGGGTCTTGAGTTCGAGACCCCTGATATACACTGTCTGTGAGATGTAATGCACACATGTAAATGATAAACTGAGGCATACACTTGTTTAACTTGCGCCTATGGTTATAGATATATACTTTATAGATAGTTCATTAAATGTGAACATTTTTAGAATGTTCTTTTTCCAATAAAACAAAGGGAACAATTTGGAGTTGTGGATATTTAAAGGTTATTGTGCTGTGATTTGATTGGTTAGGGCCGTCAGGCCCACTTTGATTTGGTTGTATGTGGCCCCTGAACTGAACTGAGTTTGATGCCCCTGCTTTACACCATGTGAGAACCTGAGAGTAAAAAGCAGACTCATGAGATCCCTTCAGTTGAGTTGTGGCTCCTTAATGCTGAGGGAGGCAGCTTCCTAACACTGAAGCTCAGACAACAAGCTACACGTAGAGCATCTGCTCCCATCATATCAGAGACCGGTTTGTGGAAAAGGCATTAAGCAGGCTCCTGAAGTCACAGAATACATGTCAGCTGACATGCCAACAATACACACTCCTACAATATGAGTTAGTAAAGTAGTGGATTGAACATTGCTTGCTTTCTTACTTCATCATCATCACATTCAGTATTGGAGTCCAACACTTGGAATAGTTAGGCGTGTTTAAAAATCACTGATTCGGAAGATCTTGGTTTCTTCTTTTCTAATGTTACATTGTGTTTTCTTCTCTTTTCTGTTCTCAGAATACAATGAGTTAAAGCAATCCAATTGATATTTATTTTCTATTGTCTTTATTTAAATATTTGTCATCCAAAAGTAACAGTAAGTAATCAGGATAATTTGTAATTACCACTTTAATAGTGGGCTAATTAGATTACATCACTTTTTTAACAGGTAATTAGTTATTGTAACGGATTACATTTTTTAAGCAACCTTCCCACCCCTGGCGTTAAGGGAATCTGAATATCTCTGCCTCGTGTCTTCACCCTGCCGGAAACAGCAACATATGAAGACCTGATGGCAGACACTGACCTTGGGTCATGTAGACCAGGCTCCCTGTGAGCAGCGCCACACAGTTGGTGGGCTGGTGGTTGTGCAGGTACTGGAAGCCCCACCCGCGGACGTACGACTTCTCGTACATGAGGCGCGACGCGTTGCCGATCACTTGCAGGAAGCGCTCCTGCTGGCCCTTGTTCAGGAATTCGTACAGGAAGTCGTAGGCAGTGGCGAACCCCACCAAAGAGTGTGCCAAAGGAACCTCGTCCCAGGGAGCGTCTTTCACCAACCTGCGAAACAAACCAACAGCAGGCTCAAGGCCAAGCACCAACACATGCAGAGCGTGTGGGAAACTAACATCGAGGGGCAATCAGGTGTGAAATGTTCGCTCTTTAAATGCACTTCTGGAAAATGTTTATCATGAGCAACAAGGCATTTCATTAAAAAGCCTTTTAATTATCCTTACCACAGCTGTAAAACATCTTTCCACGTTGAAAGCAAAAATAAAGATGCTTAGTAGCATTTTACCACAAGTGCTGCACACTTTCTTACCAATAAAGAGGCTTATAAAGAGACATTAAAAGTGTGGTGTGTGCAAATCCTCTTCTGGTTTACAGGCGCCGGGGTCTAAGAACGCTGACTTTTTGGAGTTTAGAGGAGCAAACTGTTGGCGTGTTAAAGAGTGAAGGTGTTCGGCACCTCTGTTGTTTCCCCAACTCAGACTGCAAGGAATCTGGGTGTGATCCTAGATAACAAACTGTCCTTCACTGCAAACATTGCTCCTACAACCCGCTGCTGCAGATACACGCTTTACAACATCAGGAGGATACGTCCCCAGCCGACCCAGAAATCAGTGCAGGTTCTGGTCCAGGCTCTCGTCATCTCATGCCTAGACTACTGCAACTCCCTCCTGGCTGGTCTACCTGCATGTGCCATCCGACCTCTGCAGCTCATCCAGAATGCAGCGGCTC